AAAAAAAAAGAAAATAAAAAATGGAGGCTCGGTCTTACCCACGCACTCGTTGGCCTCGCGGGCCGTGGCCCTCTGCCACGGCCGGTCGTAGTGGAAGGGTTTGCACCTGTCGCACTCCGGGCCCGCCGTGTTGTGTTTACACTCGCACACCAGGCTGCCCTCGCGGTCCTTCACGCACTTGGACGCGTGCCCGTTGCACTTGCACCTCCCTCCCACCTGCAGGTCCGACACGGCGTAGAAGTAGGAGTCCCGCGCGAGCTCCGAGTCGTCCTCGTTCTCGTCCCCGAACGTGTGCAGGCGGCTGAAGACCACCTTGATGTCGGTGGCGGTGACCCAGTCCTGCAGCACCGGCGAGTTGTCGAAGTCGTGCGCGGACGGTCGGCCGTCCARCGTGCTGAAGGCGATGAGGCCGCCGCTCAGCGGGTGCATGTCGGTGTGGGAGTCCGTGCACACGGCCTCCTGCTCGTTCTGCTTCGTGATGCTCGCCTTGTTCTGCCGGTTGTACATCTTCTTGCACTGCGTGGAGTAGAACTGGAACGGMACCCACGACTTGCCGTAGTCCATGGACTTGTAGATGGCCATGGACTCGGGTCTCGGGGAGCAGAACTGCAGACTGACGTAGGTCACCTCGAACTTCTTGCCCAGGGACAGGGTCAGGGTGACGTTCTGCGGGAACTGGACGAAGTTCTCGGACTGCCAGCAGGTCAGGTTGTGCGGGTTGTTCAGGTCCGTCAGGTACGCGGGCGGCCGCGACTTCTTGGGGTCCCCGGCGTCGCACGTGTGGCAGTCGCGGGCGCGCTCCTCGCCCTTYTCGGTCACCACGCAGAAGCGGGCGGCGGGGCTCCCGCAGGTGCTGGACACGCGCACGTCTTTGCCGAACGCTGAGTTGACGAAGTCCGGGATGCACCTGCGCGGGTTCCCGTTCTCGTCGTAGCAGGGGTCCGGAGGGGAGGACTGGGCGGCGAACATGCTCAGCCCGTACCCGCCGAGGGCTCCTGTGGTCAGGGCGGACAGGGTCAGCAGCAGCAGCAGGGTGAACCGGGTCTGCAGAGTCCTGCTCATGGTAATCCGAGCACCGCTGGGACCCATGGGCTGGAAGTGAGGAGGACACGAAAATCAGTTAATTAAAGAAAAAAATAAAAATCGAGGATGGCAGCTGGTGGTGATGATGAGGAGGACTGCATGAGAGGTGCTGAATGTGGCAAATAAAACTCACGAGGCAAAGAAAACTCCACCCAGCATCCAGAACCACCACCTCTAACTGCGCGGCTCCGTGTCAAAACGTTGGTACTCCGAAGAGTTTCAGGCTGTCCTGTTTAAACTGTCTCCCCCTTCCTCCTCCTCCTCCTCCTCCTCCTGTGAGAAACAAGACACAAACAAGATAAATGAATCTGTCCTCACCTCTGCCCACCTCTGGCCCCCTCTCTGCTCTGATGGGACCATGATGTGAGGACAGGCAGCTGAGAGTCTGAGCTGAGGCCGGGGGCGCAGCGCCATCTGCCGGCGGAACATCAGAACCGCACCCAGGCTCCAGTAAAATCTGACCTGTACACTCAAACCTCAAAGAAATCCCTGAAATCACACATTAATCAGCAGCTATCAGATTCTAAAAAATGTCCACATTTTTATCTTTTGATAAACATTCTTGACTATTTTTAATGAATTGTTGTAGCAATGGATATAATTAGTTAAAAATAAACACGATGCTAAAAGTAATAATGCAAAAGTTCAAATTCTTTGAAGATGGTGGCCTTATATAGAGTTAGGTTCACATGGAACACCTTACCGAAAACCATATTGGCGATACATCAAAAGAATGAATTTCAAACAGCTTTAAGAAGGTGTTTAAAGAAAAACAACTACAATGAATGATTTTCCTAATCTTATGTTGTGTTGATTGATTGTGTATGTTTTTCCGTGTATGCGATGCTTATTATTTTGAAGTGTGTGTCCTTTTGCATTGTATATTTTCCTTTTTTAAGTATTTTCCAGGCACATAATTCACTTCTATACCACAGTCAAGTAATTATATTACCTTCAGTTGTATGTGCTGTATATCAAAAGTAATTTTGACTTTGTGTCATAGTCTGTCTAAATGMCTTAAAATTTGCCTCTATCTCTTTAAGAACCTCCTACCATTTCTAATACTCCCACTTCAGCATGTTTTCAAAAATTACTTCAGAGGGTGTTCTGTGGGACGGGAGCTTGGCTCCAGACTGCACTCCAGGGAGGGGCTTTGTACAAATAGGCGGTGCTTTGTACCACTGGTGTTTAGGCAGCTCCACATGGCCACAGGAGAATCAAGGATTTCTCAAGCATGCATGAATGAGTCAAAGCAACACTCAAGGGAAAGACATAACATGATATAAAGCTAAAAAAAAGTTGATTTTGCACAACACCCGCCCTCCACAAATTAACGTTTTATGTAGCATTTAGAACATCTACATAAACAGACAAAGAAAAAAGAATAAAATTAGAAATACACAATCTTGTTTTTCTCTCTATCACAAACTTTTTAATTAAATTTTTCTWAGAGATGCATTTTATCACAATTCAGCAAATTCATTAAAAAAAGAAGACTCACTGAAAATCTAAAAAAAAAAGCAGGAGGATACAGAAAAAAGATATTTAAAGTCGACTCTCTGGCTCTTTCCACAGCAAAATCAAAGGTTACTGAAAACTTTAAATGCAATTTTCTTGGCTTGAAAGTTGGCCAGCTGTCATGAATGCACCTAAATACAGTGACAAAAATAAATCAAAAAAACATAAATATACCTTAAATTTATTTAGAGTCAGATAAAATGTTTATGAGGGCCATATTTGGCCCACAGGCCTTCAGTTTCATCCAAGTTACTTCCAAAGGTTAAAGGTTTTAAGTAGAAAAACAGATCAAACATTTCAACATAAAACGGTAAGTCAGATGTAAAAAAAAAWWTTTTTTTTAAAGGAAGGGGGGATCTGGGAGCACAAACCTTGAGGTTTTATTTAGGAAGTCATTTTATGCAGACCAGTTCTGACTTAGTGTCAGATGATATCTGTCAGAGACTCCTCCTACATCAGCAGCACAATGCAACATGTAAACTCCTGCATAAAGACTCACACACTTCCTGTTTTGTAGCACTTGCTTGCTCAGCGGTGATGTTAGAGGGTCTATTTTAGAAAAGGACCAGTGCAGGAGGAGGATGTGGTCTCCAGTTTGTTTCCCTCAGCTGGCCTGTCTCAGGTTCTGATAGATCCTGAACAATCTGGGTCACTGATTGATGCTGTTAGCGGTAAGAGTTCATTTATTACACAATATCAATCTCTTTAAATTTTTGACAGTGCAACATCTTGTGTGTGTGTGTGTGTGTGTGTGTGTGTGTGTGTGTGTGTGTGTGTGTGTGTGTGTGTGTGTGTG